TGGAGTGCTGGCATGTCAGAAAAACAAAACCGGGGGAGGGGGTACATGGCAGGACGCACTGCATATTAATATAGTTAATAATCATAAATGTTTTTTTTTACAGTAAATACCAGGTTTTCTAAAAATTCTAAACCTGATGACAATCAGTGAAACTTCATATACTACCTTTGTTGTGGTGTATTCTATTCTTTGTTAAGCATGTTGTGATGAGAGAGAAAAAAGAGAGAGAGAGACCAAGAGGAGAAGATTAAAAAAAGAAAAAGAGGAGAGAAAGAAGAGAAGAGAAGAGAGAAAAAAGGAAAAGGAGAAAAAGGGTGTGTTACTCGCTGCCCACATCTCCCACCACTACCGCCTGCAGCTTGGGCCTGCTGGTCCAGCGAATGTCCAGCAGAGGGAGGCAGTGATATCCCTGCAACAGCTCCCAGGGCCAGGGCGCTCAGGCCTCCCTAGTAATCCTAGAGCAGGGGGAGCCCAGGCCTAGGAGGCAGGGTTCGGCCAAGGCCTGAGCAGACAGATGCCCCATCCAACTCAGGCAGGGGCAGCACCGGGGCACTGAGCACTGGGACCAGGGCTAGATGGGGTGGGGAGAAGCAGGCATGGGGGGAGGCGCCGCAGGCAGACCAGCCCGGGGCCCTTGGGAGGGCAGCAGCCAGAGGAGAACGGGGACAGGGTGGGAAGTGGGGCTGCCTCAGGGCTCCAAAGATTCAGGCCATGACAGGCAGGCAGGGGCACCCAGTGGCACCGGAGGTGGGGCCCAGCCTGGCCTGCACATCTCTGTGGGGATGGGCTGCAGCCACCCTGCCCGCCTGGCCGGGGCAGGACACTGGGCTTAGGGGGCTCCCAGCCCTGGGCTTGGCCTACCTGCATGCCAGGCACAGTGCAAGCAAGCCAGAGTCACCCCTGGTGCAAGAGCCTGGTCTCAGGGCCTGGCCGCAAGACCCCCCCGTGCCCCGTGAACAATTGCTGTGGGCAGCACTTGGGGCTGAGCTGACCATGAGCTTCCAGCGCAGCGGCCCTCCACAGCCTGGGACCTAGCCTCACCCACCCGCAGCTCTGCTCCAGGGGCTGGGCTGGGCCGGGCTGGGCTGGAAGGCATAGTCCAGGGACAAGGGATATCAGCCAAATGTAGAAAGTGTCCCTGCCTGTGGTCTCCTGACTCCACCCCTGGTGCCTGCTGCAGAGCTGGGACCTGTGGCTACTCTGGAGAGCCTGGAGCAGCAACTTAAAAAAAAGTTTGTTTTTTTTCCAAAACTATTTCTTCACACACCTCCTAGCTTTCCAAGGAAAATGTCTTTGCATACCATTATTTGTCACACATGTCAGGAGTCGCCTGTCCCTGTGCTAGGTGCTGTATGAACATACAAAGTCCCTGCTCAGGTCTGCCATTCTGTACTGTACTCAGCTCTTCTGGTCTAATCGAAATGGTGAGGCAGGGGGAGAAATCACAGGGGCTGGTGGTGAGTGAAAGCACGCCTACTCCATAAACAATTCTTCTGGAATTGCAGCTACACATTGACATGAAGGATTTAGAAGTTTGTTTACAATAATGAGCTGATCTCCTCTCTGATATTTTCAGTGTATTTCCTTTCAACAAATGTCCTTCCCTTCATGTTTTCTAAGTCAGGAAACTGCTTAATAGTATTACAATGAAACAAACATCAGTATGTGACAGTCAATTATTTTATTGGTTGGAGATAAAATTGAAAGAAAAACAAGATTACGTTTGCATACAAGCCTTTGTACTTTTTATGCATGGTAGTAATTTTGACTTAATCATTACAGAGAAAAACTGCAACAAAAATTGTTAACAGTGAGTTTCCAGATGGAAATAATTACTCACTGGGGAATGCCTCATGGAAGCATAATAAAAACCAGAAACTCAACAATGCTAGACAGTCCACAACACTCAGTCAAATGGATAGCACATACAGCGCACTGTTGTAGGAAACCTTGGGGTAGTAATAGTCTGAGATCCATAGCTTCGGGGCTTCTTTCCAGAGGAAAGCCAATATTTTCCTACAGAGCCAGAGGAAGCAGGCAGCCCAAATTTCCACATTGCTCGGGGAAAGAAATGTTACTCAGAGTATCAATGTTCAGCTACAAAACTTTCTAACTGTTGGTTTTAAGAGTAGCTGAAGAGCAGGGAAGGGGAGCAGTGGAACATTTTCTAGTCGAGTAATTTCTTTTTTCTAAGTTTAAGATATGTGTGCTGCACTGCAATTCCATGATTGTATAGTAATGGTGAAATATATCTTACATTTTGATTAAGCCTATCTTTACAAAACAACTTCTGAGGTGACATTAATGGATCCATTTGAAGTGAACTGGTCAATACATAAGGAATGGCACCATATACATGGCTTTTCTATTGTTACTGCTGACAGTAAACTCCTGTGTGAGAGGATCAAGAGGGCCAAGACTGCACCTGATTCAGAGGTCAAGGTCAGGAAGAACTTCTTAAAAGCCCTTCTTGTTACCTCCTGACGAGGTACAAGAACTATTAGTTCTTCCCATGAGACTCATGAGACCCACGAGTGTCTTGAAATCAAGCCAAAACATGTCTTTCCTGCTACCACTAGCCCTAAAATTCCAAGAATCGCTTGTCGTGTTCTCTGTACATAATACTGATTTTTTAAAAAGTCATGTGGTTTTGTGTGTGCATGTATGTGTGTGCGCATGCACGCACACAAGAGTGAGGGAACAGGGAATTCATTATGGCCACTTTCCCAAATTTACTGGGGAAGGTGGTTTTGATCCCATTGCTGAAGCTCTCATCTCCATGTCTTCCTGTCCCAGTTCTCCAAATAATCCTGTTGCCTCAGCTCCATGTACAGTGGCGATGCGTAAGGGGTGCACGGGGGTGCATGTGCACCCCTTGAGAGTGCCGGTGCACCCCCTGACTGGTTGTGCTCACTGCTTAGGTGATCAGCAGGGGGGGGGCAGGTGGAAGTGCCGGTGCCCACCCTGCAAGCGCCGGCCGATCTCTGCAGCCGCTCCCAGAAGCAGCTGCAGGCACT